AGATATCCACAGGGAGACCCACGGGGAAAGAGCCATGGGGAGACCCACGGGAAGAGACCCACGGGAGATTCACGGGGAGAGACCACAGGGAGACCTGCAGACACCCCCCTCAACTACCCCACAGGGAAATCTGCTCCTGCCCCAGCGAGAGCCCCTCTCCCACCCACGGACACCCCCTTTCCCACCCCACGGACACCCCCTCTCCCACGGACACGAAGGGGCGGCAGACGGGGGAAAGGTGAGCCCAACGCCAGCCGTGTCCCCACGGGGAGGTGGCTGCTGGCCCGGAGTAACCAAAGTCGTCTTTATTAATTGCGGCGGTTCGTTACAATAAAAAGGGAGCCACGTGTCACGGTCACTGCACGGCGCTGGCCGGGGCGGGGGCCGAGGGGCCCTTCCCAGGCGCGTCCCTAAATCTGGGGTGCGGGGGGGGAGCGGGGTGGGAGAGGGCTTTGGGTGGCTGAGCAGGCGCTGCCGTCCCGGAGGTGTTTAGCACCAACAGACCCCCGGGGTGAGGGACCCCCGGCGAGGGACCCCGGCAAGGGACCCCCTGCTCGGCCCCACCCCCCCCTGCTACATGGGGGGCACGAGCTGGGTCTCCCCAGCTGCCTCTGACCCCGCTGCCCTGCCCAAGGGCCCTGGGCAACGTTTGGCCCTGGATTTCGGGAGCTACCGCAGCACCCACTGGCCCTGCCTGGGGGGGGGCTGGTGATGCTGCTGGCGTGGCAGGGTGGGGGACAGGGATGGGGTCCTCCCCCCTTCTGCCACCAAAAGGGACACTGGGGGGGACAAGATGCTTGGAGAGGGACCAGGGATGGGAACAGGGACAGGGTAGATGCAGCCTCCTGCCCCGCCACACTGCTCTGCCCTGGAGGGGACCTTTGGGGACCCCCACCCTGCTCCCGGGTCTGTGCGCAGCGATGGGGAAACTGGGAGCAGCAGCATCCCGGGGTGTCCCTTGGCTCCGCGGGACACCAGGTGCACGACAGCCCCGTCCTGGGATGTCCCATCCCCACAGGGCCCTGGGAGCTTGGGGAGAAGGGGTGACCCCCCGGGGTGATCTCTAGCAGCCCTGCACTCAAGGGACAGCTGCCAGCCATGTCCATGCTCCCATCCCACCTACCGGCACCGAGCCCGGCCCGGGGCAGAGCCGCTGTGGTCCCTGGCACTGTGGGTGCAAAGGGGCTGTGGGCAGGTCTCCCCACCACTACCACCTCGCTCGCACACTAGCGAAGCGGTTCCCACCGGTGGTGAGGCACAGGGGGGACCGTATCCCCCGTCCCCAGCTAGTGCCATGCTGCAGAGGTGCTCCCAGACTCCAGGATGGCAGGAGGGAAGGACGGACGGATGGAGGGACAGACTGATGGGGAAGGAGGGCTGAGTGGGATGGGGAGAAGCGCATTGAGATGCTCCGTGCAAGGGAAGAGCGGGGCGGCTCACCGTGACTGGGGGTTTGTGCTGCTCTGGTCCGTCCCACCAGCCAGAACACAGCGCTGGTCACGTGTAGTTTCTGGTTTATTCCTCAGGTTATATTTATATATGTATATAGGGGAAGGAGCCCTGGGTCCCCCATGGCACCTGAGCCAGAGGCAGGCGGGGGCAGCGCGGTGGAGCCCCTTGTCCCCGCCGGGTCCCAAAGCCTTGTGGCGGCCAGGCCCGGGGGG